ACTGGCATATCACGACGTTTGTCACAGCCTTCCTTTTTATTGTCACTTCTGCGAACATCCGGTTTTCCTGTAAGCATTCCATGCATCCCTGAACAGTAAGTCTCCGGACTCGTTGTAATTAATAGGAACTGCAGCGACAGCCTCAGCCAGGAACTTGAAGTGCGCCGGTCCGGCCATCGTTCTAATGCGCCGCTTGGAATAACCAGGGGCCCGGTCAAGAAAAAAATTACCGGCGGGCAAGGACAGGCAGAGAACGGATGCTGACTGTCGAAGTCTGCCCTTTGTAGTGCAGCAATCTCCCCCATACACAGTGGCATATGGAAGAACAGGGTTCTCATTGGCGAAGCGCTCTGCGCCCGGCCTAAGCAACATAGTCGTAGATACTTCATAAGAGGCCGATTGGTTGTGTTCTCATAGGCGTCTATTGGGTACGGGCGTTGCCAATAAGACGATTGTGGCAGAACACAGCAGCGCCACCTCCGAGTTGGAAAATACCCTCGGTTTCAGTAGCTGCCCACATCACGAGACCCGCGGATTTATTGTTCTTTAGATTTGACTCTGAGACCGCTGAGATAGTTATCTGTGTTTTGCAATACTCCTTACAGATCCGATGTTCGAGGCATTTTATTGCGGTTGTAAGTTTGGCGCTGCATAATGTTACTGCAGGTCCCCAATACATTTATTTCGCAATGCAGTTAAGTAGCGCCACTATGTTTGGTAATTTTCGTCCTCAAACTCCATCTGTTTGAGGATTCCATGTACAAATGTTATTTGCTTTTATAAATCGTCGACAACCATTTCTCTCAATTTCAGACCCAGAATGCTGAAATTCAACAAAGGGTGTACGAGTTCTTGCGGATGAATAATGACATCTACTACAACATTGTTACGTACACAGTAAGCGTAAAATACTTGCCGATTCAGCATCCCTCATCTAGCCGCTTGAACTAGACTGCCTGCATGCCCTCCTTCGCGACGCTGGCCTTAAGCTGGGACTCAACCGACTCATGAGTATGTTGGACGAATGGGTAAGCATACGGACACACTGTCACGCACGTTTCTAATTTGACCATGCACACTTCCTCAACATCGACTGGAAAACTCGAAGTCAAACCTGGAGTCCAAGTGATGCTGCTTGTGCTCTTATTCGTAATTTCCATCACTGTTACTCCTAACCAGACATCCAACAGGATTGCCTTTCACTCCCAATTTACCAGGCTGCGCACATCATCCCAAACCACACATGCAGTTATTTAGGGCTCCTGGTCAGCAGTGCTGCGTGGTTATTATCAAACCTAGACGAAGACTAAACAGGTGCGTCGTACGCGTAAACAGACGCTTTAAGCCGCGTCGGCCTACTGCGCCTGACTTCGTTATCCACATTCGGCTTGACTCGGACTTGTACCTTGTGGGTGGGGGGAAGAGAGCGAGGTCAATCCAACGAGAATGCAACGAACCTCCCTCGATATGACGAATCAGAAGCCTTGGGCCGTCGCTTGGAGGGCTGCCAACTGATGGGTTAATTCAGCCCTCCTGTAATTTCAGAGTCAGGTTGCTACCGTTATTTCATGCGGCCGCTGACAACAGCCACCAATGCGAGATCCAAGATGTTGAAGCCTGGTCTGCGCGCATTTGGGAAACAGCACGTAGGTAGTACGTGCGGTTGGCGATTTTGTTACTGCTTCCGAGTGCATCCCCATTCGCATCGGCCATGTCTTGACATTGGAACATGGTTGGTAAGAAGAGGGGCGGACGGTTATATGCTGCTAAAACGCACTTCCTGCACAAGTCACTACTGCGCCCTCGGGATAGTGTTAGACCTCATTGAGAACGACCGTAGAATTGTCTTAGTCGGCGTTGTTTGTGCCCCGCTGCGGGTTCGCGCCGTGCCAGCCACCTGCGTCCTTTCCCGCCTTCAATCTTCTTGACTCGGCTCTGGGTGGGGGAGGAGAGAGTGCGGTAGATTCAGAGCAAGTCTACTATCACTTTAAACTACTTCACGTGAAAGTCGCTGTCCCTGCTCCAACCCTGCTGTTGAGCACCTGGTTGACATCGTCGAAACCGACGGTCGAACTGTTGCTCTGCTGCACCTCTAAGGACTGACTACCCAATCGTGCTGCCACTGGTGAGTTGGGGCTATGCTGGAGCCTCACCCCTGGGTTTTGAACGCACAATACGAGCTGCAAGTAGGACGTCTACGTATTTCTTGCACCACTTTTTTCAGCGTGGCACATGGGTCTTTCTGCGGAGAACTGATTAGCTGAGTACTTGCCGCGAGGTCTGACTGATTCAGGGCCCTTGCCGATAACAGTAACATTCTGTGTCGAAGAGCCCCGAGCCCGTCTGATATTCCTGACACACAGCTATTACTTAGCCAAAAAACGTCACTTGCGCGATGTTTCAGATTTATTCTCGAACGTACTGCCCTGCGCGCATAATCACTCTGCCCAGGCTATCGTCGCGTTTTTGACTGCGGACTAGAGAACCACGATTTAACCCTGATAGCAATGAAGTGCGGCTAGCGGATCATTTCGAGCTCAGCGTATTATTGGTCGTAGGTAAACCGTCGGATCCTGAAATGTTTCCGTACAGGAAGTGCGCGTGCCGACTGGTTATTTGAATTTGATATGGACTCGAACGGACGGACGTTTTCAAACTCAATACCGTCTCGACTTTTCGAAAGCCAAAACTCGGCGCGAATTCGATACATCTTCGATCGCTATTAGGGCAGGCAGAAGTGAAACGTGTGGCGAGTTTCGGTCGACCTGTTTACGCCATTTGGCGTGCGGACTCAGGGAGCGCGAGGGCATGCACTGCCTTTGGCGACAGCGCCAATTACCAACGCCGCTGATACAACCACGGCCATTATTGACTCAGACACGGACTACCAAGCAATCTTCGTAGAAGGTACGAGCATCTGCTATGAATGCGAGAGCCGTTGATTTTGTAGGCCCTTGAGGACAGGGCAACTGCACCGTGTAAATACTCCCTCCCCCCCCTGTGCGTCCACTTCGTCTGCCGCAGTCGAGGTATTGGACTTGAGAGTGAATCCGGTACGTCAGGCGAATAAGATCAGTGCTCCAGCTACTGAGTCTGTCTCTCCGCCCCGTTTTTTCGCCCGTATCGGAAATCTAGTCGTTCGCCTATGTGCGCTCTTTGGGGGTAAGTTGACTACACCGGAATCATATTTTGACCCTAAATTTCATATCACATTCGAGTGTGCTAACCACCTCTCTCTTTGCATGCCGCCAATATTTTTCTCCAGGGCGTCACTTTCACAACGAAGAACAACAGAAAACCCAGCAAGCCAAAGTGTTCGAGGCCTGCTCCCCGATATTAACCCTGCAGGCGGACGTCATCGTTGTAAATATTCTCCCCATATGTTGCCAGACTTTTTAATCTGTATTTCCCTCCTGTATGTCCTGTGATTGTTATGCATTCTCTTTCTGAATATGTTCATTGAAGGCCATTGTGTGTGCTACTTGGTCTTGGCTCACTCATCGAGAAACCCGAAACTTGCAGGTTCTGCACTTTGGTCTTTTCAAGAAAGATAATTTTGTAGGCAATTGATGTACTGCCGGATTCGCAGCAGTGCAGCCAAAGGCTCTGAGCACCCAACCATCAGATATTGTGCGTCTGCTTTTGCCTGATGTATCTTCCAACAGGAAAGAGATCGTAGTACTCAGCATGGGACAGAGCCCCAAGGTAATTTACAAAGAGAAGCATGCGGCCTTTATCTACTTTTGTAGATCACACTCAAGATCATGGTAGAGGGGCGCTCGCCGATCGTTCTTACGGAACTCACTCGCCCCGTTGTGCCATACGGGCTCTCTCTCGAGCCCAATCAGCGGCCGCACAGCGGCGTATGATATAGGTATTATCGACAAAGACAAGGGAGACTGGAATGGCCATTTCTGGCTTATTAGCCGTCGTCAGCCAGTCATGTCCAACCCCGAAGTGTGGAATACCTGGGGCCTGATCCCGCGACCAATTAATTAGAAGTCCAACGCCTCTCACCACGGAGTCGCGGGCCCGTTGTCCCGCCAGCTTCGATTGGGAATGTGCACAATGGCAGAGGGGCGCTCATCGATAGTTCTTACGGAACTCACTCGTGCCGTTGTGTATGACTGGCTGACGACGGCAGTAAGCCAGAAATAGCCGTTCTAGTCTCTCTTGTCTTTGTTGGTAATAAAATTCTGCTCAAAAACATTACTGCTTGGGTGGTGGACATTCTGGTCATTGATTTTCGATACATTCAGTAATTCAAGCATAATTCCCATAAAAGATGCGCGGATGCTCTACTACGCTAACTTTGCAGGAAATCGCATGTTATCTAAATTTAATGCTATACAAAAGTTTATAGAGTTAGTAACTATGAGAAAATTCAAAAAACCCAGCGCGGTCATCCGTGCTCTCCAGTACCCGTCAGTGCTGCTTTAAATAAACGTACTCCAGGCCTGTCTGAGGAGACATTTATGAATCTAGGTGTTGCTGACAACATTCGGCTCATTTGCCATTACCAACCAGTCACGCCCCGACCCCTAGGTGCTCGTGCGCACTCACGGCTTGGATTCGAGTTTGGTCTACCGTTCCTTCTAATTGCGTTACCGAACTCACGCTTCGTTGGCTGCGATCAAGTGGCGTCCACCGGCCTATCTTGATTGCAGGACGCAATAGGGGCGGAGCCACTCGCAGCATAATGCACCATCCTAATGGTTGGATCTTTGGTGTTATTAGTAAAAATATGAACAAATGTTTGCACTAGCTGATCACTCTATCCGATTGCTAGATAAAAGACTCGTTTACTCAGTCCTATCAAAATCGGGGTCTTGTTTATTTTAATTCTGGGCTTTTCAACCTTCTCAATGAAAAATGTGCAACAAGATGAGTAGTGATCACAGGCTTGGGAGTAGAGGGAAGTGGGTAAAGAGAGGGCCGAGGAGAGAATTATCACAGACATCAATATAAGTTAGCCGGAAACGCCCGCCAAAGTCATCTCATCAGCTGAGTAAGTCATCAATGTCCGACATCGACAATGGGGTGCTCGTACTATTGGCAGGCTTCGGGCCCTGTACCATTATCGAAGTGGGCGTCAGAGGTGCAGCAAACGCCATGGGGCCGCCCATGCCGCTGCTCAGGGGTGTCGGTGTGGCTGCGATAGGGGGTGACATCATTGGGAAGCCCAGCTGTGGCTGAGGTGAGCCAAACCCGAATGGTGTCAGGCCGGACGTAGCGGAAGCCGGAGTTGTACGCCGCGTCAGACTGAGCTCCTCAAGGTTTGAAGAAAGTAGTTTTCCCGTTAGATCTACGGGAGCCGCCTGTTGGTATTGTTGAGTGGTATTGGTGGTTGTGTCCTGGCGTTGAGGTGAGAGGCGGGGTTGGGCGCGCAGACGTTCCGACTGTTCGGCCTCTGCCATAATACGTTTCTTATCCTCCAAGGTGAGCTGGCGCGGGTTCTTGCAAGCGGGCTGCTGACTCCCGCCACCATCACCAACACTACTCGCGACTCCATTCTCGGAGGTCGTCGGGCCAAAAAGGTCCACTTCAGAACGACTGGGTGGGTCAGCGGATGGTGCAGTGGGCACGCTGTTTAGACCTCCAATAGAAGACATCATCAAGTCCACCTAGGAAAGAAAAAAGAAAACAAGATCCTAGGTCAGTAGGCTTGCAGCGGTGCAAACTAGAGACCCCAGGACGAGGGTATCTGCTAGCCTAGTTGTGATCTAACGGGCTCGTTCGCAGATGACGGACACTAGAGCGGCCTTCCACGAAGGCTGGCTGCGAAATAAACAGGATCTCATTCCTGACCAGTAAGCAGTTGCGGACCACGCGGAGGGCAATGTCTTCAGGTGTGGATAGGCACCGACCGGACATAGCAAAACTGCCACACGAGGGACGTTGCGCCATACGGTAAGACCGTTCGACACAATCCTGGGACCTTCAACTTGTATACCAGAGACATTCACCTCGGGACCCAGGAACCACAGGACATTACCCCTCCAAGCCGTCTATCGAATGCGCGGTCTGGCGAGTCACAAGTCAAGAGAGTTTTTGGATGACTAGAGGTATGCACATTCTGACTGAATTTACCGACGGCCGACGATCCTGGTAGATTTCATGCCCATCGACAAGAACAACGTTCACTAATAGTAGCACCAAACGTCGAGATGATTTTCCCCAAAACAACGGCAGTGCCAACTATTACTTAGTTGAAAGTTATGTGAATTTATAAACTGTAGTACCGCTTAAATGTGTTTCCAGCACAGGCACTGTGCTAGCTAAAAACTGATTTTATATAGCTGCGTTTTGCGGCTGCGGAGGGTTTTGCTCACCTGTCGGCCCTTCAACCTTCTCTGTGTGGCCTCTGGTACAAAGCCAACTTACAATTGTGGCTATGAATTCTCCAGCAAATGTGGGAATAAATTGGCGCAGTGTGAGCGACGCGTGCCATAGTAATTACCAAACTGACGGACGTAAAGATTGCGCAGATACCCTGCAGAAGCTGAGAATGTCAAACCCCAATGGTTACGCAACAGACAGATCTGAACGCGCACTTGGCAAAAATCCCCCTGCTGATTTCCGACAACTAACAATTTATGTTAGGTTGGATTAGTCGCAAGGACGACCGAACATCGAATATCGAGCCGTCGGGGATGGGGGAGGGTTTGGCGGAGGTCGGAGTCATAGAGGACGGGAACACCAGATGCGGTTAAATGCGGCCCCGGAAGTGCACGACAGCAACGATTTCGTGTGATCATCGGCATTCGGTCATTCGCCCAAAACACTGACGAGAATGCTCAATGCCTTATGTAAGGAGCCAATGAGAATGTCGACGCAGTCTCTTGCGCAGTGGGCAACTGTAAATGGCGCCAACCATGCGCGCGCAACAATGTAACTGTAGTAGACAACGCCCGAAAAGTCGTGCACAATATTTACTACTTATTTTGCGGAAGTATTGTAGTAATACAATCAATTATGGCGCTGAGGACAATGCATAGCGGCATATAGGTTGGACAACGCATCTATCGGGTCCTATTCTAGTAAAAAATGGACTAAGATTAGAGGTACGGCAGCCTAACCTAGGCAGGTAACTCCGAATCACCAGCAGACAGGTAATCTACTCGAGGTACTGTAGACTGGATATCTCATGACATGCTGACGGAAATTCCGAAACGTGCTTCCAATCCGGAAAGATCACTCAGAGTTGTCGTATTAATCACCACGTCGCATAATGTTAAGATGCTCCGGTCACGTCAGGACGCCAGTTTTCGAATGAGTTTCATATGGATTGCTGGCATAAGCTATATTCCGTAAAAACGACTACTTAAGTAGCATGAATTTTACCATCATTTTTGATACCCCTATGAATTCAATATTTTGTAAAAAAACATGCACAAACATATTCCTTCTTCTGCTCACTTGGTAGCAGATTACATTTTCTTCAAATTTTATACTTGAATAAAGAGTATAATTCGGTTTCAAAAAAATTTCCAAATTCCCGAATAATTCCGAACCCGACCTGCCGTTATACTTGCACTCGGGGTTTCCAAACCACAGGCTGTATATTTTTCGTGCAAGAAAAATCATACAGTTCTATATGCTGTTATAAAGAGGACATATAGAACTCATGAAGTTGTGTAGTGTATATGAACCCGATTGTATGCATTAACATTGTAACATCAATAAACTTGCCGATGTAATGCTGTATGGATGGACATTTCACGGTCTTGAAAAATCTCATAATTAAGAACGTTTTTAAAATCAAAAGATTAAGTATAAAACTTGAAGAAAATGTAATTTGCTACCAAGTGAATAGGAGAAATAGTATGTCGGCGCGTGTTTTCTATAAAATATATTTGAATTTATAAGGGTGTCAAAACCGGCGGGAATATAGCTCATGCCGATGGTCGGTAAAGAGCTCATTCGAAAGCCGGTATCCTTAAGTGACTGGAACATCTTATACGACATGATAATTAGTATGACAACGTACTTAAGTAATCTTTTCGAATTAAAAGCATTCCAGAATTTCAGCCAATATTGCAGGAGATAGAACACCTATTGTACGCAAGTGGTTTAAGCAGCAAAAAATTACTATTCGTTAAGACAAGCGTTGCGACAAGTTAGTTCTACCAAAAACAACGGGGACAAATTATGGCCAAAACATAGGTGAAACACCGGTCTTGCCGGTCTTATGGGGTGCAGGACTAGAGAGAATTCCAATTTTGAAAACACTACAACGTTTGTAGTAAACAGTAGAAACCAACTGGGAGTCAAATACTCACGAACTAGGTGAGTTTATTTACTAACGCTAATATTTAACAAACTAATAGATACGCATTGGAGACTTCGAAAGCTTGGGAACGGCGGCTGGGAATTGAATGCGGGCCCTCGCGTGATCTATCACCATTGTTGGCTTGGCGGGCTTCCGAGTCGTCAGATAAAAGTGTTGATGTCGCTCGGAAGCCTATTAGGGCAAGCGTAGCATTCTCATCACCGCCCGTATAAAGCATTGGGACACAGACAAAAACTACGATCATTATAGTTAGTACGCATTCTAGTTATACAGCAAAAGTACTATCTCATGAAGTATTAACCGAAATTCTATAATATGTCCGATTAGAAAAGATTACTGAGGTTGAGTTGTAATAATAAATGGGTACAAGAAAGAATGCTTTATGTACAGTAGACGGGCTAACTGATGAAATGCGTTTTCGTTTCGAAAGAATTAATAGGGTTGTAAAACCGATCATCTTGCAGCATAATTCTATCACAATTCAGTTACCTCAGGATGCCGGTTTTCGAAGAAACTTTTTTTGGCTGCACGCAAGAACTATGTTCCGCAAAAATTGACTTCTTAAGTAGCACGCATTTTTCTTAATGATTTTCAATGCCCTTAAAAATTCAATTATATTTCATGAAAAAAATGCATAAAGATATTTATTTTCTTGTTCATTCGGTACAAAATGACGTCTTCTTCCGCTCTTATGCCCGATGGAAGGGTATAATTTGACTTTAAAGTTTCCCGTTGTGAGATTTTTTAATACTGTGAAATGGTCGTTCATAAAACGTCATGTCTGCATTTACCAATGTGGCTTGTAAGGTTAACAATGCGGCTCAAATTCATTGCTAAATTTTATGAACTCCACATAGTCTCCTCTTAATATCGTAGAGGAATTTATGGTTTTCCGTACGCGGAAAATATACGGCTGTAGTTTGTAAACCCTAAATGCAAGTGCAACGGCAGGTCGAGGTTCAAGGATATTCGGGAACCGAAAACTTTCTTGAAAACCGAATTATACCCTTTTGTCGAGTATAAAATTGAAAGAAGACGTCATTTTGTACCGAATGAATGCGAAAATAAATATCTTTATATTTTTTTTCATGAAATATAATTGAATTTTTAAGGACATCGAAAATCAATAAAAGTACGTGCTACTTAAGTAGTCAAATTTTGCGGAGTATAGTTCTTGCAAGCAGCCCAAAAAGAAGTTTGTTTGAAAGCCGGCACCTCAGGGTAGCTGAATTGTAATAGTATTATGCTGCAAGATGATTGGTTTTATAATCCTATCATTCTTTTTGAAACGAAAACGCATTTTGAAATTTCGGTTGACATTTCATGAGTTAGCCCACCTACCGTATGTTCTCCACAAAATATATTTGAATTTATAAGGTAATTGAAAATCAGTGGCTGTTCTAAGCGGCTAGGAAGGAGCTCGTTAAGAAGCCGGCATCCTGACATGACTAAATTTACACAGAGCGATGAGCCGGCTGTGTGACCAACCATAACCGGTGATAGCTTCTTTGCGTGACTGATTCGGTTCGGTAACCTTGTTTTGCGCCAAACCTTCATCAGAGGCCGTCCCACAACCCACCGCCTCTTGACGCACCAGATAACTTTCAGCCAGGCTACTGGACAGGCCCAGTCTTCTTGGGGTTCACATTTCCCTCCACTTCTCATTCGATGTTGCCGTCAAGGGTATATGCAAGCCATAAAAAATAGGAACTGACAGCCTCATTTTCACTTACTTCTTCATGACCCACAATCTTAGGCGACGAGTTTGACGATGAAAGTGACTGCCACCAATGCCGCAAGTGACCAAATGTTCACAGTTCAGGAAACAGCTACCCAAATAAGATTACCAATTACAGAAGGAATACACGAACTCCACTAGCTACGTGTAGACTGGCCTGCAGGCGTCGTCAACATGCCAAAAGTTTTACCCGAATAATTCCTATCTCTTGGAATTCCAAGAGGTAGAGACACCGAGGGCCAGTGGTCTAAGGCAAAGGGGAGAGGGGGGGGGTAGGCCAGACTTGCTGGGGAGGTTGACACTGGTGCCGCTGATACTCCTTGGTGCGCACGGTGAAAAGGGGGAAAATCAATGGATCCTGAATGCAAAACATTAGAGTAAGAAGAAGGAAAACAGCTGGAGGGGCTAAAATACCATTTCTGACGATGTTCCAGTCATTGTCGGCGAAAGGATGAAACTGGGGATGCATCTAAAAACAGATAGAAATGGAGTATGACAGTGACCCGGTTGTTTACGTTTGACCTAACCATCGTTTTTCCTAAAACTGACGCCATTAGTATTCTGCACAGTGTGCGTAACACTGCAAAGTAATGTGGCAGTACTTCGACTGAATAAGCCGGGTGTTCTTGGTGGGCAAGTTAGGCGCAAATGAAGGAGTCTGTTATTTAGACAGGACAGGGCCACATGGAAAGCACCACAGTGCCTGTCAGAAAAGCTCGGCCAGTTAGAGATTGGCAAGTGCGAAAATGCAAAGAAATGACGGAAAAAGTAGTGACTGTCTGAAAATTCGCGTCCTGTTTGTGGGCCGCCTACAGACGGATGATACCGCAGCCGAACTCCCAACATGGCTCCCAACTCTTCCGTAAGGGAGGAGGTGGGCACTGCGACAACCAGTCTAGGGCCGCCGACTCCAGATGAACTCAAGTGGACCGTTTACTGGAAAAAGGATCTAATAACTAAGTAGGGGACTGCAAAACGGCAAGGGTCCTGGAAAAACGAACAATGACAAAAATCTCACACAGATTCCTCCGCTTGACCGTGAAGCTCTGACAGTTTCGCCTTCTGCTGGGTCTCCAGTTGCGTAATCATCTGTCGAATGAGTTCGGCGAAGGCAGCATACTGGGTCAAATTGAGATTATTGTCCATGGACAACTGGAGAAGGTGTGGGATGACGCGAGTGGCGAGGACATCCCTCGAGATGCCGAGTTTTTTGTGGAGAAATGCCACCTTGTAAATGGCTGTTGTGGTCAGAAAACAGACAAGCACGGCTCCATATAGGTATAATTTGCAAAGTTCACCTTGAGGTAGAAACTGGAGGAAGCAAGGAGTTGTAAATTGAAATAGGTTCAGAGAATCTGCTTTATAGGGGAGATTGGTTGAGGAGTGACAGCAACCAGCCATGGCCCGAATGAGGTACAGAGAACCGGCCGGCTGATGCTAACACTGAAGGCGACCTGGGAGGCGGGAACAGGGGCTTTAGTCACCCGATGTTCAAATGCCCACTCGCATGAAGCGTCATAGACGCAAACACGGGAAGGGAGGCGCGGAGGCAGTACTCTCCAGTAATTGACTCGGCAGTGGTTTATTCGAGTACTCACGAGTCGTTAAGTGTCGCGCTGCTGGTCTCGAGTGCCCGGTTAGGCGGGCAAGACCTTCATGATGAGAAAAGGCTGGGAAGAATACCTACGGGCAGCAGTAGCCGTGAAAAAAGCCTGTGTTCAACCTTGACACACAGGTTAGATTACACCTGGAGATCAGACGTAAAACCAGGGGGCACTTACTCAGGACGGCAACGACCAAGATGGGTTCACGCGACTTGACGTCCACAAGGAAGGGGAAGACGTCTTCCATGACACACCATTTATCCAGGTATTCCAGAATTTTTCCGAGACAGATTAGCGTTTCCAGGCGTAGCTGTGATCACAAATATAAGGACATTCAAAAGGCAAGAATACAAAGCAGCGGGAGAAGGGGGTCAAGTTGAGGGCTCGACTACTTTAACACTGGCAGTAATGGGAACTTGCCGTCGGTATATAGGTCGCTATAGGTCTTGACCAAAAGACCTGTTTTAGAACTTCACGAGAAAATATGCCGTTTGTACCAAGGTTCGACCGCCTTCTTGCGAAATTAAAACACGAATATCCTGCGATTTAAATAATTTGCAAGTCAGGTGCGGGTGGCCGACTATCACTTCTTTACCGTGGCGCCAGTCAGTCAACAAACTTAACTCAAGTCGATGATTTTTCCGATTGTGTTAAACGGCACAGAAAAAACCTAGTCCCTTTCAGTGACTTGCTCCTCCAACCACGCGGTTATTTGCAAAATCTAAGGCGAGGCTGGCCGTGTGAGCAGTGGTATAGGACGTCTTCTCCCAGGAGCCACGATGCGCAAGGTAGGTGGAAGAGGATACAAAGTTTCCATTCGGGGAAGACCGGTTTTCAATTTCCACTTTCGAACTGAGTTTTATATAAGCATCGACAGTTTGGTATTCCAGTTTCAAGAGAAAAACCACACTTAACCGACCTTTATCGACGGGCCGTGCTTTATCGAATATTCCAAGTCGGAATTTTGGAATGTGACTTTAGGATGCAAACGCAGCAGCTGTAGTTCATATACAGTTCAGAAGAGGAACAATGCTTAGAAGTTCATCGAAGAATGAAATGACAGTTTGGTCTTTCCAAAGTCGAAGTTCGTTGTCGTTGCACTGCAGACCAACAAGACAACCAGTGAATGAGCAAGTAAAACTTCTCAGTACAAGATGCAGAGACCGCGAAACATGCAATAGTTGGACGTGCCCTATCGATTTCCTGCGAAGATGGCTTAGCTGCGGCCATTCGGTACGTCCACGCGCTGTTAATGGTCGAAAGGTCGTCAAGAGGGTCTAACTGCGAAAAAACCGGACTCGAGCTTTAAAAGTAAGTTATCATGAAACAGCGGCGGCAGTGCTACGCAGGATGCCGAAATTCCCATCGAGGTCGTCGAGGTTTTCAGTTGAGTCAAACTGAAAAAGCATACAGTGGGCCGGGTCCTCCAGATTTGTGACTGCAGATCATCGAGCGTAGGGAGTTACAATTCACATCATCGGGGGCGGCAGGTTCAGTCATGGTTACAGTCGTATCGGGTACAAGTCAGCAAGTACTCGAACTCGTAAACCACGCCCTGCCGACCGAGAAATCAAACAGATGAACGCGACGTTCGCCTAGCTACCAAAATGCAGGATATAAAAGGGCACTACCGTTTTGTGTGTACGCCAGGGTCTAGAACCCCTGCAGGTCGCATAATGACTAGCAGTCAATAACCCCGAAATGTAACAGATAAAATTAGGAAGACTAGACATACGCGGGATGGCTCACGACCAGCTGAATTGGTGCGAAATCTCAGGTGCCTCAACTGGGGTTAGAGTATCACTGAGTAATGACGGCAAACAAGGCAGACAGCCGCTTCGATGTTCCTGGTCTATATTCCAAATATGACGACGACGTCGCTAGAACGCCTGACAATAATGGTGGTGATCTTTAAAGTAACGCAGGCTTGTACTATGCCGTAGCACAGGTGAGGAATGCGTGCAGTACGTTTTCAGGCTGCAGCCATCGCCGAACACCGCGTCTCGATATCCTTCCTAATGAAGCATCCTCACTCCGATATTTTGGTGCTCATCTGCCTTCTAACCTCTTCTAGTGCCTCCGTGTGGTATTAATCTTTTTTAGAAATACATACAAATTTGTATTTTTCATTCAACAATGGTGATTCTGCCTTTAATCCCCAGCGACTAATCTGGACCCTTGATCCTTTAATTAAGGTCGGATTTCTACGAAGACCCTGAGTTCAACCCGGCTCGATTTTTGCTACATCCCTTGTCGAGTGTAGGTGCACCATACAGTGCGTCAAAGATCTCATGAAATGTTGGCCAAAATTCTGGAATGTGTTTTCGATTAAGAAGGATTACTGTAGTGGGGTTGTTATACTGATTATCATGCAGCATAACCCTACAACATTTCGGACTCGCCAGGATGTCGGCTTTTGAATGCACTTCTTTTTGACCTGCAGAAGCCACACTCAGTAAAACACGACTACTTACGTAGCATGCATTTCTATTAATGATTTTCAATGGCCTTATAAATGCAAATGTATTTTACAGCGAAGATGTACAAAAATATGCTTCCCTTTGCTCATTTGGTAGGAAATCACACTGTCTTCATATTTTATGCCCGAAGAAAGTGTATATTTTGGTTTTAAAAAAGTTTCCCAATTCCCGAATAATTTTGCGCCCGATCTGCCATCGCATTGGCGTTTGGCATTTTCAGTCTACAAGGTGCATACGTTCCGTATAAGGAAAATCATATATTCCTCTATGCCTTTAAGAAGATATCACATTGAGTTCGTGAAAGTTTACAATGGATTCGGACTGTGTTGTACATTTCATGAGGAGCATTAGTAAACGGACATGTGCGGTCTTGCTTGAATGGACATCGCACGCTCTTAAAATCACATAATTTGAAACTTTTTTAAAACCCAAATATGCACTTTTTCGGGTATAAAATGCAACGACAATGTTATTTTTTTACCAAATAAGTAAAAGGAGGCATAGTTTTGTGCATGTTTTCAATAAAACATATTTAAATTTATGAGACCATCGAAGATCAATGTTTCTGATAAGATCAAATATATTTTTATAGAAAACGTGCACAAAATATGCCTTTTTTACTCGTTCGGTAGAAAATCACACTATCTTCATATTTTATACCTGAAGAAAGAGTATATTTACGTTTTAAAAATGTTCCTGATTATGAGACTTTTAAGACCGTGCGATGTCCGTATATACAACACCGTACATGTCCGTTTACCAAAGCTTCTTAACACAGTCCGAATCCATTGTAAAATTGTATTAACTCTATATGGTATCTTCTTAAAGGTATAGAGGAATATGTGATTCTCCTTACGCGGAAGGCATGCCCCGTGTAAACTGAAACCGTTAAACGCAAATGCAATCACAGATCTGGCTCAAATTATTCGGAAATTGGAAAACCTTTTTAAAACCTAAATATACACTTCAAGTATATGAAGACAGTGTGATTTTCTACCGAACGAGCAAAAGGAGGCATATCTTGTGCACGTTTTTTACAAAATATATTTGAATTTATAAGACCATTGAAAATCAATACGAAACATGCATGCCACTTAAGTAGTCATTTTTTGCAGAGCGCGGCTCCTGCAAGAGGTCAAAAAGGACTGCATCCAAAAGCCGACATCTAGATGAGTCCGAAATGCTATAGGATAACGCTGCGTGCTAATCAATATTACAACCCCACCAAAGTAATCCTTCCTAATCGAAAACACATTTCAGAATTTCGGTTAACATTTCATGAGATCGATCACGCATTGTAACCCCCAGCCCTCGATTCAGTACATACAGCACTGATCGCGAGGATCGAGTTAACTCGCCAGTTGATAGCCCTTCGAGCCACGAATTTTTGTGCATCGTGATAACTTCAAGGCGCGTCAGATCTATAATCGTAAGGAGTATGCTGAAGTGCCCCATTGGGATGGGTGCTTCTGGGTCGACCTCCCTCTTCCCTATCTCATGAACGACCAGTCTACCGTCAGAGCCTATTAGCCGCCTGGTGCTGACGTACAGACTGAAATCTAGAAATAAACGTAAGATAAACCTAGGTCTTTCACCCAATGTTTCAATAACAGCCTGGATATTTTCTAGACAAAAGCGTCCTTTTGGTATTCAGGAGCAAAGCAGAGGGGTCAACTTACACTGACAAGGTCGTGGCGCAGATACGCCTTCTTGAGGCGCGGAACAATTGAGGATTTAAGAACCGTGAAATCCATCAGCTGGGCAACGTCCGGTAGGCTTTTGAGACACAGTTGCTTTGATAACACAAAATAGGGAAGCATAAGGGGAATGCAGAGCGGGTACTTAAAAAAGTAAAATATCAGGAACGAAAGCGAGCAGAAGGATAGGGCATACCACAATGGATGTTGTGTTTGTTTCCAGCGACGAAGTCAGGACGGGAAGCATGTATTTCTTGAAGTCGGCTGGTGAAAATTTGGAGGTGAGGATGTTCAGATTTTGTAAAAGTACCAGCAGGACCTGCCAAGCGGTAATACTGAGAAGTGACTATAATGGACGCACCAGGCAGTCTACGTACGCGCAAAAGGAAAACCTTCCAGAGAGAACTATGCACGAAGGTGACACCAGTGGGAAGGATACAGCGCACTTTATTTGGCAAACACAGTTTCGTGACTAAAATTTATCCACGAGACAGTAAAACTGATCGCAACGCTGATGTCAGGATACGCACTACGCAGCAGGGACCGAATCGCATGAGACTTTGACTGGCATCTATAGACTGGCTTTCAAACGAAGATGCAGGAGAAATTAGCATGGGAGATCTCTCCGCGAGAACTCACGCAATGTAACTAACTTTTGGTGAAAAATCCTTTCAGCCTTTAGGTCACAAGGAACTAAAATTACTTAGGCGGTCTGTATTTTTACATTGCTGCCCGATTTTTGTATAGCTCGAACAATGCCGTCCGGAACAATGCACAAAAAACTATTTATTGTACCTATTTTGTAGGAAATAGGGTCCTAGTAAAATTGAGATCGAAGGGAAGGGGTACATGTACTTTGAAAAAGTCCCTTACACTGTTGTTAAGATTCGAAGACTCGCAAATACATGGTCACTCTACGACAAATTTACACAGCTTTTCATATCCCTGGCGTCCATTAAATTATTAATATAAAGTTTTGGGGAACAGCGTTACACTGCGAACGATTGTGAGAGCGGCTCAAAAACTCATAAGTCCGTACTTCTGTTAGGCTGAAACACACTCTTCCTTCAAAAACAATACTTGCACGAGAGGCGTTCACCAATTAAACAAAGCTTCCCGAGGGTGGTTCGCCTGCATGTATGAAAACTCTTTTTACCAAAAGCCATGCATTCCTGCAAATTCGTTCAAGCTATCGAGGGACTTCGACCGGCATTTTGCGAGTTCTAGCACCTACTGTCGGTGGGCAGCAAAGAACCAACCTGCATTTCAAAACCAGCGCGCATTTTTGGAAATAATGTCAGAGACGACAGGAAAAAAGTTTGCAGAAATTTTTGAGACTGACCTTATCTAAACAAACATCGGTAAACTCGCAGCCCCGGCCGTTAAATGGCCATATGGCGTCTATTGTTGACTTTCTACTAGCTCCGGCAATGGACTTCTTTACGCGCTTAAAAGCTCAAACGAGCCTGTCTTGCCTAATACGGACGCTTTAAACCCTCTAGAACTGGGGCAAACCGAACAAACCCGCCACTGTCTTTACCAGCTTTCGCAAAAGGAGGGGCTTGGAAGGACTGTGGCATTCCACACGTCAATGCTGAATTCCCGTTTTATTCTCTACTAGCAACTTATTAGTACCTAGGTCTTATCTGAATTCTTTGTCATTGTTTCTGCGGTCCCACTCACTGATTTTCATTGTTCCGCGTGTTCGGTCGTTTTAAAACCGATCATCACATGCTGGCGTCTAAACCCATCGAACAAATGTCCACTTCTCAGTTTTCTACCCTCTGTTAATTCTATCGTGCTCTGACAGTATTACTGTTTATTAATAGAGAACCACAGTGTGCAAGTTATTCCGACTGCCTCCTGACATTACCTTTGACCTCGGATGTGTCTATCCCCGTGAATAAACTAGAATTGTACCGAGAAAATCAGAGGAATATTAATAAGAACAGAAGATAAAGCACAGGCAAGGCATAAATAGGAAAAAAAGTAATTTCCGGCTGCCTTACCTGAACAGGTTCTCTGATACATAAGACTTTTTGGAATGAGGGCAAGATTACTGTGGTGAATTCTTCCCGACTTATCCTGTCGACTATTTCCAAAATTGGGGGTAGCACAAACGGGATCATATTGGGATTGGCAAATTCTTCTGATAGTTGGGAGTAGACACGGTGCAAGTTAATACGCTGAAACGAAAACGAGCAATAAAAAGCAGTCGAACTGTAGGAGGAAGAATTTTTATGGAATATGTTTACGGGTCAAATGGCTATTTTGAACCTACGGCCACCTACGTTACTGTCAGGGAAAGGAAAATACGGTGGAGGGCGCAGAAGTCTACTTTAAAGGAAAACGGCCAGCAAAAATTAGTCCAAATTAATTTGTAAAGCTTGACACAGCACTGACTATTTTCAGATGAAATAGTGCCCCTTGAAAGTCGGCACAGGATAAAGACCAAGAACCAGCCCTGTTTGACGCAGGAAAATCGACAGTCAAAAATAGACGTGTTGGCGTGATATTGTTTTGTAAAATTGATGAGTATTGATTCCCTAATTCGAGAACAGACCGGAAAAGGCAAACTAAAAGCCCATGTGCACCCGTATGCAGAAGCAAGACCCGGGTTAAAGCGGTCACGTGTGACGGAAGACGGTCGGTACAGTCACTTCCGTTGATAAAGAGGAGCTATGTTTTACGCACTTTGACTTTAAAGGTGTCCCGAAATGTCAGTAATCTAGCGAAATCAAAATCGTGTCGTCAAACCTTTGGTAGGATTCGGATCGATGCGGGAAGGTTTTTGTAAAACCTGGAACGGGCCAAGTTGTCCAACTGGCGTAATTCGTCGAGGCTTTGAAGAGCAGAAACACCGGGATCGTGGAAGTAGGATAGCTGGTTTGAGGAGACAAAAGAGAAGGAAAAAACGCAGGTCAGAAGAAAGTACCTTCATTTTGGGAAAGAACCTGAAGTAGCATCTTTAGATGCGTTCAACCATCTGGTGGAGGCCACTGACGCATGTCGGCTAATAGTAAGTTAAGACGGACACACGGCTATACGGACAACCAGTTACTAGAGCATCCAAATCTACGGTAGATTGTTAGAGCAAGTGAGAAAATTGGTGAAGTGAATCAGAACAAGTCTACATTAATTTAAAATACTCCGCCTAGGTCTTTTGGGACTCGTTTTTACCCGATCTTTGACCTTGTGCCAGACTGAACCATACAGCTTTCAAGTCAAACTTCCCCTTAACTAAGAGGGCAAATAGAGAGGCCGAAGTATCTAAACAGCTCTATATTACATGGTGAATTTACAGTCAACCAAGTGACGGTCTCGCGAGCGAACTGTCTTCTTATTTTGTCCAAACGTGAACTCAAATGATATAGATAATTTACAAAAAAGGTTTAAATGGAAACGCGGTCGATACTTTTTTCTCAAATACCTTGCAACACTTTTAATGACAGTCTACCGCTCGCAAGAGACTGAGACAAGAGTTAAACTGTTAACTCATGCATAGGAAAAGACCGTTCTGCCTTCGTCTAACGTCGTCAGTCAAGAAAAATAAAATCGGAAATGAAGGAGTCAGGAAAATAGGCAAAGGATAAGAATTTACTTCCGCCCAAACCATCCTAAGTTTGCTGCCAAAGTCGACAGATTGTAACCTGACGCGAAAGATAACACCAAATCGAAAAAGTAGTATTTGAGCGCGCTGGGGAACGGATATTCGTACCCCACTCCCGAACTATGGCGCACGGTCACCTGTAATACGATAATGGCGGTAAATGTCCAGTTCAGTTCGGTTTTATTAAGGGAAAGGTAGGCGAACGCCCCTGAACCCCCTGACGGTTGCAATAACCTCGCGAAAGAAAAACACCGGTGAATAAAGAACGTTAGAAAATAGATTGATCATAGAATTACATACAGCAAGCATGTAATGGTCTGGTAAATACTGTGTTAATGTATGCGTGTTGTGGCAAAAATAGGGGACTTTCAAGAGAGGAAACGCAATATTCTTAAAAACACAAAATTGAACAATCGTGTTTGTGCTGCATGCTTGTGTTTATGCGTTAGAAAGGTACCTTAAAGGATGACAGTTCGAGAAGGGGAGTACACATATCCGTTAACTACCTTCAGCACTCTTATTCCTTAAATTGCAGTCATTGACAACACTTATAGAACAACTTCATAACACGACCCCAGCGTTCTCAGACCAAGTCAACAGTCACAGCAGGCTATTTAAGGCAAGGGCGAAGGCCTAGAAAAAACTAACTAAGTGCATTATTCTTTGTGCAAATTTAAAGGCGTGTCATGTGCTTCTACTACGGCTTAAAACGCTAAGGCCTCATAGCCCATTACAAGGTATCAGAGGCGAGACGACATTAAAGACAAACTCAACGCTCAAACAACATTTTAACAGTCTGACTGGGAGGAACCATATTTAACACAATACACGCTCGAAAACCGTGTCGAGCTTAGTTTAAATTATCTTCTTATGGGAAAACGGCATCTCTAGCACGTTGCTGGATTCCAGGAAGACCGAAATTTATTGAGAAGGCAGCGATGACTTGAGCGTGATTTGAACAGCACCGACGACGCTCTTCTCCTATACCCAGTGTTCTGAAGGGTAAACAGGGCCAAGACGACTGGAAATGGGCGTGAGTGCACTAGTTACGTTCATAAAAGGCACCCCTCTACTCATGCAACACGCTTGCTCCTCCCCTAATTCATTTGCCTTCATTGACTTGGACCTTACATCAGCAGGAGTTGCGATAGACCGTATGAGATCACTGAAACCTGACCACCGGCCAGCAGAGACAACTTATCCCGTCGCTTGGCAGCCCTCTTGGCCCCCGCCTGGTGATGAGTTAACAGTCTGCAGGATTTGCTTGGGTGAGAAAAGGCCGCGCTGGGCCGGTTCCATCCCCTCTTTCCTGTGTCATTGCACACTGCGTGAAGACAGCTGAAAAAAAGATGTCGGTCGCAGCGGCTGATGTGGCATAACGCCCTGTCTACCGTGTGCTACACACGTTTTTAGGCCTCGTTTGCGTCTAGCGCAACAACAACACCCGTTTTGGTGCCCTACACAATAGACGTGACGCAAGCGAGAACATCGGAGACCCGCCCTGTACTCTTCTTTCATTGAGCCCCTTTACGCCTTTTTTGCCGCTAACTGTTTGCCGAAGCCTGTTTCCTCTGGCAACAAAGGAGGTTGATGCTGTTTATCGTCCAAACAGTTTGATGGTGATAATGACAAGAGTGGAAGTAACGTCCTCCTTTGCTCCGTCACAGTCGCATGCAGTCCGTTCTTGACAGGACCAAAGTTCAGTCCCGCGGTTAGTCTGGTATAATTTGACGTGGGGGTGGAAGCACACTTAATTGGTGACCCGAGACGGCTTAAGGAACTAAAACCCAAATTTAACAGCTTATTTCGGCTAAGCCTGGAGTTTATTCTGCGGAAATAGTGACACATAAGGCACCCGTGGTCAGCCCGTTAGAGCGACTATGCCGAACAGCTGTGAGCTAATAAAGAAAAACAGGACTAGTTTCGTGATGCCGCATATAAATTGCATAATTGAAGAGCTACGTAAGGGTGTCTGACAGAACAGTTAACCGTTGGCTGTCAATCATCTGGGTGAGCACTGTGAGTGAAAAAAAGAGAAGAAAGTAACATGCCTTTAGGAGTTCATGCGGGTCCGGACGCACATTGGGATCGGGGTGTAAAAGCATCTTAACGTAGTCTCTCACCGACTCCGGGAGACTCATCAACTGGGTTGCCTTGATGTGCTTGAGCTGAAACAAAGTTGGAGAATATAGAGGTGCATAGTCTAGACAGAAAATTACTGATAGGGACAAGGGAGACTGAAATGGTCACTTCTGACTTATTGGGCGTCATCAGCTAGCCATATCCAACCCCACGTTTTTTTGCCACCCCTGAGGCTCAATCCCACGACCTATTGTTTGGAAGTTCAACGTCCTAACCCCTGAGCCATGGGCTCGTTGTCGTGTCGGTTGCGATCGGTGAGCGCCCATCTACCGGTGAACAGTCTATCTACATCACGCATACTATACTGTACAAACATATCGCGAGCAAAAGTAATTAACGGTAGACTTCAGTGGAATTAATACCTTTTTCCTCCCAGCTTGCCCATTCTTTCCAAATTAACCTTATTTGCCATAAATGGATGATGGGCAAAGTTGTTTTTGGAAAAGAAAAACTGTGGAAACTGAGAAAGGTACACAATCTCAAAACGCTTACAACAGAGTGGACCCAGACCACTGACCTGGCACTTATGCACAGGTGCGCAACCTCGGGACAACCGCGACCACATTCGAGGTCTGTGCAAATAAATTGATGTCCGTTCTCTACACAGCCGGTCTACCAAAGACTGACTTGTCTATAAACATTACAGATTACAGCAAGTGTCTGACGCTGATTTCCTATAGCCTGACCCCCAAGAACTGCAAGAGGAGACTGTAACAAACTAGTAAGTAGGGGAAACATCAGGGAGTGATACAAAGGACTTAGGTTCTAAATGAATGTCAGTGGGAAAGACTGGAGAGGATATCACGATACGGGAGAGGGGGGGGGGGACGCAAACAGACCAACTGCTCAACGGTCACAAGCCACGCTATTTTCCGCTGCTCCACGAGGTGACAGTAACGGTGGCTTGAACACGAACTCCTTTACATCGAAGGCGACTTGCGCACTGCCCATTTCATGTCGTTCTCCCCAAACCCATGGCCTTCTGACGGAATTCGGGACGACGGTGATTGGCGTGGATGGAGGGGCTGGCCAAGCTAAGCAACCCACATACGCCTGTAGCACGTAACCCGATTGCAAGCCTCACGCGTAAAAGACTCCAATGGGGGGGGGGGGGTCTTGAGTGTCCCCAAAGAGCGCCACAGCAAAAGTAGCTATTAGGCCTGGCCCTCAGTCCTGAGTAGCACCGAGTTACCCCGTCGGCTGTCAAACTTCCGACCTGCGACTGTTAGTGCGTTGTGGTGTCGAAGCGCGCTTGCTTGTGCTTGGTGCGGAAAAGGTGATATAGTAATATATGCACCCCCGCACTTTGGTCTAAAACGACCTCTAATAATGCATGGTCGTAAGAGGGGCTTTATGTGTGGGTCCTTTTGAGGGAACGGAAGGTACGGTGTAAATCATGTAGGAAATCAGAAAACCCAATTTAAGTCCTATGCTTGTTTTAATGTATTGATTGTGGATTTAAATCGCGCTGTAAAAGAAGTGGCCAAGAGAAAAGCGCACGACCCTACGAAAGCGAGTGAGTAGATGTATTAATAAAATACGATGTTAATATTAGTAGCGGGTGGACTTTGACGCAACGTTCGGTTCCGTCCATCATGAGTCCCTGTGGCCGATAATGGCGCTAGATGGTGTACCGCCAAAAATCGTCGCATGATCAAGGACCATTATCGCTCCACCTCTGGTGTTCGGCCTCCGTTGTTGGCAAAGAGAATGGGTCGAACCGTCCAGATTTGCTGCCGCGGATCGTCACGCGTGGAGAGGTACAGTTCAGGACATCCACGAGGCCGGTTAGATCAGGCATTATCGCAGCCGTGCCAAGTACAAGTACAACGGGAGATGTCATTCTCAGTTTTCGAGGGAATAAGAGCACACACACAAAACGTCTCAATAAGTGCTGCACACCTCAGCATTCACCTTAAAGTTCGGCGTAGCTCAGGGATAATGGGGTGTCTGAACAAAACTGCAGCATAGACTACTACGACACACTACAAAATAAGAAATGTGGCAGTCGTAGTCACCACAGACGTTATACAAAAAGCTCGGATAGGCCAGGTCCAGCAACAGTAAATCAGCAAGCATATGCACGCGGCAGATGTTCCAAAATAAGCCACTGAGTGACAGCTGCCAAGCTACTCAGTGTTAGAAGGACGTGATTATTTTGTTAATATTGGGTGGGTCAACCTGCGTTTTTTACACAGAAGTTTGGGTTTTGTTGGAAGTTGCTTGGTAACTTTCCAAAAAACTTTCCATCAATAGATTGTCTGACACATGTGATACCACAGCAATGAGACTGTGCTACACGCTAATCCTACACTACTAGGAAGGACATGGGGACTAGAATCAGCCTTTGGTTCTTTTCAAATGCCCTTGCAATGGGCGAATAGACCATAATTGAGCTCGATGCACATAAAGCACTCAGGCAAATTAAAAGGCACAACCTAGCGTCCGAATAACGTCAGTTTGGCCTCGTAGCTCCGGTGGCTATAGCGTTGACTGTACTAAAGCCTCCCCCTTGTCGTCGTGGGTTCGAATCCCACCGAGGCGCCGAGTTTTTCACAGTTGGGTCAAAATGAATTATTTGAAATCTGCCATAACCCCTATGAAATCCAAAAGACTAAGGCATGCAAATAAAACGGCCGCGGAAAATTGTGTAACTTGCCTGATTTACTCCGCTCCTATATGTGGCATAACTGTCCTTGCAAGGAAACATGCTGTTTCCGTCGTTATATAGAGCATATAACAACATTCCTACCGAGAACATGTCACTGGAAGGAGAAGCACGGCCCTGCAATTGAAACACAAAAATAAGGAGACATCACAATGGCGAGGTAGAGCTGCTTGTCAGCAAAAACATCTCAATAAAACAGAGTTCGGAGAATCCTGCATGTGCAAGGCTGCAATCACGCAGTCTAGTTACTAAACCGCGGCATGGCTTCTGAAATGCATTTACAACAAGAAAGTAGTATTGTTCTTTAATAAATTGGCTCTGCAGCATGGAACTTCATGATGAAGTCAAAGTCTTTGCAATTTACGAAAGGGCATTGCTTCTCTCAAATATAACTTAACAAACCAACGAAATACTGGCCGTTAACACTGAGATGCAGCAGATGAGAAAAAAATAAGAGGGCGGATATAAACGCACATTAATAACGGCCTCAGGACTGCTGTAGTCAAGCTGAGGTTGACATAGAGGTAGCACTGATGACTGCCAGCTCAGCACATCAACGCTGTCATCGTCAGCCTCAGACTGCGCACCGCTAACTGGCAGCATCTTAGCGAATTCGAATCCACAAAGTTTCCAAGATCCCGTTCGGTTAATTATAATCGACTCGGGAGCCACGTTTAGATGAAGCTGACGACTGTCTCTGTGAATAAACAGGAGGGCCTCACAGACCTGGAATAATCGAGTAGAAAACAATATTAATCAAAGGAGGTCCATAAGTGCGTGAGGAGCAAAAAGTCGAACCTGAGCACGCAATATACCTGCAATATACCGTACTTGAGTTCTGTTTCCGTAAATTTGAAATCTTTCAATCTATCAACGATCGGACCAGTGAGATTGTCATGACGACCAAGAGCGTTGGCGAGAGAGGTGAAGACTGGCTCGGTAGCAAACCCCAAACTTTCGCGGGAATCTTCGAGTGGATGCATAACTGAGAGAATTCGAGGGTGGCGCAGTTTGGTCAAAGAAGATACGCCGTGCCGGAGTTTCTCTAGCATCATATTCCTCTGTGGCTTTGAATAACGATCAAGCAGCCGTTTCTCGAAAATCCAGACGGTAGCAGGCTAGAGTTAAGGTTTCAGAGGCATAAAAATATAAACAAACCTCCTTCGACGATTTCTTAGAGGCCGAATAGAGCTTCCACATCAAACCCGGTCCAGAGGTGGCGATTTGGCGATCCAGTTCAAACTCGCGACTTATAGGATTACCCGGGAGCGCTCCCGTGACAGTGTTACGGAGGCGACTGAGAACACCATCCATACTTAACCCTTATCAGGAGCAAAAAGGCGGTTTTCAGAAAAAAAAGCGAAAATATAGGGTTCGCTCAATTTCATTTACAAACAAACCGTCAGTGCAGATCGAGAAGAAAAATATCATAACCTTCGAATTACTGGACGAAGACCATTGTGCAACAGACAAATTTCAAAATACAAGGGCAGAATGAGTGAAATGACAACTTGTTCCCGAAGCGAGCAAAGTTCCACGCGTGTGGTGGAGGGACAAGAAGTTCGGTGAATTACTACCAACAAAAAGTATTTTGATTGGACATTTGATCTCACAACGTGCAGAGCAAACGCGAGAAAGTGCTTATGGTCTTCCAAACGAATAATCTGCTAAGCGGTCTATCGTCGTCTTATTACAATCTGCAGAGAGTTACCTAGGCCACATTTTGGTAATTGCTATTTCTGAAGTAAGAACATAGTCAGATTTAAAAAAATAGTATAAACTGGAACCACCTTGACATGTGGAGAAGAGAAGGAATAGCAAATGGACAGCTTTAGCTTACGATTTACTGCTGGCATTTTGTCCACAAAAACAGTTGAAAAGTCGTTAGGCATTAAGTAAGATGAAAGCAGGTTATCAGATAAAGGAAACACAAATGTCCAAGATGCCGTTCAGGTAAGCGTCAACGTGCGGCACAAAATGAATCCTTCGGATAGAACATGTGACTATACGTGGTCAATAGATAAAAAGGCAAAAAATGATGAGCACTAACGCATTTCTGCCAAGATCCTAAGGAGACTGAGCGTTTGAACTACATCGCCCAAAAGAAGCTTATTTACAAAAATTGTAAAGGGGACGCTCACCGATCGCGTTAGGAAACTCAACCATCCCACTGTACCTTGGAGCTCTCTTTCGAGCCCCGTCAGCAGCCATACAGCGACGCGTAATATAGTGGCTCAGTGGTTAGGACGTTGGACTTCTAACCAACAAGTCGCGGGGTCGAGTCCCAGGGGTTCCACACCTCGGGGTTAGGCATGGCTGACTGGTGACGGTTAACAGGCCAGAAACGGCCATTCCAGTCTCCCTTTCTGTCGGTAATGCTATTATGGCTATGCACAACAATCGCTTGGGTAATCCTGGCCTCATTATTTGCTTTTTTTTACTTCAAAAGCGCCAAAAATGCAACAGCAAGAGTAAAAGCAAGTGACAACAAAATTATCAGAAGGTGAAATCAAATGCTCCACTTTAGGAAACGATTAAGACGGTCTAAGAAAATCAAGTTAAACACATTTTGACGGAAGTCCAGAAATTAAGAACTGAAAATGGAAACACCGTTACTTGACCACAATGACCAAAAAGAATCCGTGTGCATACACTCAGCAAGATCTTATGAAGCAGAGAAGTCTCAGGAATTCTTAAAAGTAACCGATGATTTGCGACCAAGTGCACTTTGAAGATTTTTTAAACCTAGAATCGTGAAATTCTTCTGTACTCGCCAGCAGAGGAAGTCTATGATCACATAAAAGTTAGACGGAAAACTCCCTGAATTTAAAAATCTAGAACCATCTCTAGCGAGCGTTCTAAGGCTCGGATACTTAATCAATTCAACTTATATGCGGACCATTATATGCGTCCACTGACTGTGCATTCTGGAAACTTTGTCTATTAGTCCGAAACGCTGAAAAGAATAAGCGTGAAGAACCCACAATTAAACTGTTGTTGTTAAAACAGTTGCGATAATGTAGCGTTATGTAAGAAGCGGGTGTACAAGCTGCCAGCTCACAAAATTCCGAAAAGAACAGGGCGTACCACCTCAAGGTGATAATCGTTCACTGAAAAAATGGCTACAAGTGTCGCCATCGCATTCACCTAGGATAAAGTAAACCATAACAAAAACAGAACAATTGTTTGAAAGCGTCTTTACACAAAGCTTAACGCTTTCCCGCTGTTATTATGCATAGGAGAGACACCGGAAAATTCGGATACGGTAGAAGGGGTGAACAATAACTAAGGAAAACTACTAGCCAGGAAGATGACGGGCGGTTTTTGGCGACGGCGAATGCACGCCAACCTGACAGCCAAGATTCCGCTACTGAACAGCTACGAGGTTCATATGCACGTTATGAGGGGGTAACTTTTTGACACTGACAGTTGACATCCTGAAGGATAAGCCACGAGATTTCGAAGGCCAAATACGACGCAGTATGAGGATAATAAATGAAGGATTGATACTTTCCCCGTTAAGCCAACACGCTGACCTTAATTTGCCGAATTCAACTCTCGCATCACCGATTAAAGTCTCAGCAAGACTTCGTTAATCAATAAACATAGAGGAAAACAACATTCCCACAGAATTTTGTACCTTAATAAGAGATTACTCCGCAGGCCGGGTCAGCGAATAATTAAATCCATGTTTGCGTACGAGCGGGTGAATTCAAGTAGCGGAAGTGATATCGTGGAATAGATGACTGCAGTTCACATGACTGTGTCCACTTGTATGCCCGTAAATTTCTTCAAAACGGAACAAAGTTTACTTGTCTATGACTTGGAAACCCGCACCAATGAGAAACGTGAACACGAAGACGGCCTTAAACGTCATATAAAGGCAAGTAACTCAACAGTAGTTGAAGGCGATAAAAATAACAGAACCCGAGCGGAAAGCCAATTTATAGAGGCTCACGACAACGAAGAACTGCAGCAAGGACCACACAATGTGACTGGAATAAATAGTTTTATTGAGCCTAGAATACATCTATTTCCCAACGACGGTTAGAATAAGGTTCTTGAAAGACAGCTATCTAACTAGGGTTTTATAGAGTTTGAGAACCTTAGGACACTGCTGATGACCACATACTCATCCAGAACTAATCAATACGGTTGTTTGCAACTAGTGCCGTGACTGGCCGAATTCTCTCAGTGGTACCCGGAAGCACAATCCACCCACCAGTCCCTTCGTGTGATTGGCTTCAGTTGCGGGGATGAGGCATGCAGTAATGTAGGCACCCGGGTTACCCGCGCAGGCTTCCCCATTCAACCGACCAGATCACAAGCCGCACACAAACCCGCAGATCTGAGTTGCTAGCGCGGGGCTAGGCAGAGGCTAGTACACCACTGTAGTGTCCCTGATAACATATATGGTATGAACACAACTGTCACTGAATACCCTTCGAGGGGTTTGATCTCGTTATCTAGGCTTGGCGACCAAAGAAATCTAAATCCTTAGATGATGCAATATTGTGGGCATATTAAAAACTATTTTTAACACAAGACTCAGGCTGAGTACCTAATTTCGGCAGCGCCTGCCCAAAAGAGCCAACGGACACAATCACAACAAAAACACCAAAGAATGCGATACAGGTCTGCCAAAACAAACAAAACCTTAAAAAACTATTACAACACGCCAAAACATAATACACAAAACGAAAAACCAACCAGTAATTTATAATCGGTATACGTAACGCAGAAATATCGATAAAGCCAATCAAATGTTTTTTCTTCGTCTGAGCAGGTCTGCACTCCGACATGGCTTTACCTTTATAACTTTGTCATTCAAAAGTACGAATACTCATGCAGACTACCTTTTACTGGAGCGAACCCTTTGATGTTCCAAGAATAATTTGTGGCCCGCATTCCCCAGACAACAGACCTTACATGCTTCTTTTACATTCTTTTGCAGAATCTGGAAGAAACGGTCAGTGCGCTTTCCGCTCGCACAGTTTCGGACGATAGGCTTAAAGCAGCTGATAGACCCAACATTTCTATGCATTGTCATAAATAAAGCTTAATGACAAGGAAGTGGTGCCGAGGTCCTACGAGGTGCCTTAAAGGCCACGGAAAAAGAAGCAATTGGGCAATGTTATTTGATTCATAGATGTGCTCGTCGATGTCTCGTGTGTGTGTGAACTAAAATGTTAGTGCCTCTCAGTTTGCCACCACTCAAATGACACATTTCCCTTAAGTGATGAATGTGCTTCTCGAGTAATTCTCTATGTTCCTGCTGTACTGTTTGTGCGGTCCGAGCATGAGACTATCACGGTGAACAAAGAGTCGAGGCTTGGGAGGTTATCGACTGAAGCCTCAACTCGACCACACAGTCTGTACAGTTTGTGTATTTGTGGGGAGTGACAAATAAAGGGCTGAGAGTTAATTTGTAACGGCTCCTTCTTAACGCATTTGAGGATTACACGAAGAGGCCTTGGTGAACCTATTCATGTAGAGATCCAATTATATGCAACCAGTATAAAATAGTCATTTGTAAAGTTTACGGAGACACCCTGGATTAAACGCGCAGTAAAGCGATGCATAAAGGGGCACCGATCCGTTTTCGAAGATAAGGAAAATTTTTATTTTACTTGGATTTCTTAGTATTTTACATAATTTTTCGGTTGAATTTTCGGTGAAACTTTTCATTTCTATCCATAAATTGAGTGAACGTATGACTGTGTTTGCCTTGCTATTATCAGGTGTATTCAGTATCAGTATCAGTATATTTTAGGGAAAGTAAGTGTGTACCTTGGAAATCCCTATTGGTTACATGCAGAGGATATATATGGAGGAAATGGAAAGGAAGTAACATGAAGGAAATGCGAGGGGAATAGCAAAAACTGTACAGATGAACACAGAATGTCATGCGTTAACCGAATTCAGAGTCACATTAACTTGCTTTGTTGATCTTAATTTTTAACCCTATGTAGCCTTATTCCGGCTTAAGTGTTTCCGTATGTTTAAGAAGTTCTCTCAGTTACCTTTCTCGGATATCCTTTTATTTCCAGGGATAAATTATCTGCATTGACTGCTGTTATTGTCAATTTATCGGCTATAATTACGCTGCATTGTCATAGATTTCGCAATGTATAGCCCAGTCGTTAAGTTCACATCCCATCCACATTTTTATTTTGCCGACCATAACATTTCCAGCTGTTTGTTTCTTGAAAAAGGTCTGTATATTTTAACATAAATTATATAATTGCTGAAACTGCTGTTCGGCCTAATGATAGTAGTAGGCTGTTAAGGCTTTTCCTCATACATACCCCCATCCTTGAATTATCTAAGAAAAACGAAATATTTTTGAACCCAGCAGATATACTATTTAGAATAATATTTTTCCTGGAAATCTTATCCAAAGGCCTAGCAACTATTGTTTCAGTAAATCAGAGCCACACTTCAGCAGTGATATCCCCCTACTTTACCTTTTATAAAATGAAAGCTTAACCAACCTTTGGTCTAAATTTGAACAAAATTAAGATCCAGGCCTACAACGTGAGTCTTATCGTCAATATGGAACCACCAGGCCTTGGCGCACTTGACATATTCGACAGCCTCTTGTCAGGACATGAGTTAATTTTCTCGATTCCCGTTGCATTCCGAAGTACAAATTTTGACACATATCTCTTAGCAATATAGGAGACTCTTGCCTTTCATCAACTCTGTTGCTAATGAGGCCGTTGACTGACAGAAACGAAGTTTAAATTTGTTTTGGTTTGTGTTCGTGAGAGGAAACAGCCTGTTGATGTCGCCTTCCATTTCCTTTACTCTCCTGATTCAAGCGTCCAGGTCGCGGAAATTAAAAGAGTTCCGTCTAGGAGCAAAAATCCTCCCGTATTTGTCAGACTGTTTTTGTCAATAGAAAAGTATTGTGTCTTCTCTCACCACGAACACTCAGAGCAATAGCACAGAGTAAAATAAGTTTCTGTTAATCAGAATAAAACTCCAGCAGGAAGTGGAGTTTCCGCGCATCCTCAAAGAAAGAGCCTTCCACAAATTCTACTTATACGAAACTCGTTTCTGAGGTTGGCTCTCCATCTGGTTCTAGTCGACTTTTTTCCGTATTCGCAACAGCTTTAGTCCCATCTAACTCTTCGTGTGATGACGTTGCCCCTGACTCGAGTTAAATCCGCCACATTTTTACGTCTTCAAATGCGACAAGCTCTCAAAAGATGTTCTCAGTTCTACCATGTCCTTTAATCTTAGAATCAGAGATTGGCAAACCCAGAGACACAACCAACATGTAAGGCCTAGAATAGGGGCGTAGCTCAAGAAACTGTGTAGAATCCATCTCATTCCGATGCCAGGCCAATCACACCCGACCCAGCGGTACAAGCAAGTAAACCAGATAGCACTGCGGGGAAATCTTAACCTCTTCATAACCCAGATTCTCATATTAAGAAAGGTTTACGGCTAGAAAAAGTGCTAAGACACCAGCGTTTAAGATGCATGAAAACAACGCGATTAGTAGTCTTTCCAAATCAGCAGCTTGCCAGCCCCCCAGTTCAGTTCGCTCCCTAAAATAAGTGTCCCCCTCTTATATGCTAACAGTCTTCAAAATCCTACTTTTTCAGCATAATTCAGTATTTATGAGGGACATAGGCAGAGCTCCGGAAAATCCTATTTATAGATAAACGTCTGAAAAAAACATGCGGATACTTGCATAGCAGTTATGCCTTTCATTGATATCGTGTAAATGTTTGACCATTAAGCATAAATCTATCTAGTCTTCTTTTGAAGGTCTCAAAATTTTCCCGTAAGACAACAAAATTCGGCAATTTGTTCCATCCCTCAACCAGCCGGCGGTAGAAGAATTTTGCACGCAATTTTTGGTGCCCTCGAGGACTAGTCGTCCGCCCTAGTTCGAAGAAATCGTCAAAATGAAGAGCATAATGTAGCCCTCTGACGATCTGAAGGCCATGAGCATATCCCCTCTGTATTTTCTATAAGCGAGAGGAAATATTTTTGGCTTTTTCAGACGTTTCTCATAAGGTATGCATTTAAATCCGCTGACTAGCTTGGTCGTTCTTCGTTGTACGTTCTCCAGTAGGGTGTTAACTTGCTTCGTCCAACATTTGTCGAACAAATGTTCTAAATACTCGGCCGAAACCTTTTTCGTCGAAATTGAGGAAGGATCTTCTAATCGCGCCTAGGATACCCATAGCCTTCTTTGATAACTTGGCGCAGTCAGACGATGGTTTGAGAGTTGACGTCACCCACACACAGAGGTCTCTTAACTCGTTGACTGACTCGAGTTGGTGACCTCCTTTAAAGTAGTGAAATTCAAATCTCAACGGCCTCCTATTGTCTGATCGTAGTCGGATAAGTTGGCATTTGTTACGATGGAGGCTAAGACACCACTCATCACACCATTGTTGCAAGCGATTAAGATTGTCTTGTAACTGTACAGAGCCTTCCGGCTTCTCTATTGATTCCCACAATTTGAGATCATCGGCAAACAGTGCGCGCTAGCAGTTCAGACAGTCCAGGCAGTTGTTCACATATATTAAGAACAGAATTGGACCCAGAACGCTTCCCTGCGGAACGCCGCTGTGCACGGATGCCCATTCCGATTTAGCGTTTCCGATACACACACGCTGAGATCTACCCGTATGAAAATCGGCTAGCCATTTCAACAGATTTCTATTCACACCCATTTGACGTAGTTTACATATAAGTCGTCTGCGTGGAACAATGTCAGAAGCCTTTCTGAAGTCTATGTACACGGCGTCGACTGATAAGCCCATGTCGATTGATTTCGTCCAGCTCACCATGGATATTGGGAGGTTGGTGAGACAGGATCGACCCCTTCAAAGTCCATTCTGATGTAGACTGAGCAAGTTGTTTTCTTCGAGGTGCCGCATCAGCTCCGTTTTTATTACTTTTTCCATCAGTTTGCAACAGATGCTTGTGAATCTCACTGGCCTGAAACTATTTGGGACTGTTCTCTCGCAACCTCTGTATATGGGGTTAATATTTGCTTTCTTCAAGTCGGTAGGCAAAGCCCCGGTCTCCATCGAAGTTCTGAAGACTCTGGATAACGGAGAGGCTAGTTGGTCTGATAGTTCATTCAGGACTTTTGCGAGCACGCCGTCCAGACCTGGGGATTCAGTGGGCTGTATTTGACTCAAAGTTTTCCTTACCGTGTCTGTCGTGAAGTCCACCGTGCTAATTGTATTGTTTGATTTGACAATTGGGGGGTAAACTCTTTTATCAAAATCCGGCTCCTCGGTATACACAGACGTGACGAGGTCGGACGACAGGTTCGCCTTATCTGAGTTGTCAGACAACGTATTGCCCTGGCGATCATTTAGACAGGGAATGCATTCCCGGTTGCGTTTTGCCTTATTCATGTATCCAAAGAATTTTTTGGAACTTTGCGGGATATTTTTAGACGTTTTGACCCAACTTCTGCCTGTTCCCTGCTCAATAGATTCCGACATACATTCCTCTGCTTCCTGAAATCAGCGAAATGCTCTGGTTGTTGAAATCTGGCGTACTTATTCCAAAGTCTCCTTTTCAATATAAGGTTTTTCTTTATTTCTAACGTGAAGAGACGAGCGGTTTCCTCTTAAGTGGGCAATGGCTCTATATCAAGAGCTGCATTACGTTCTTGAAGAAGAGCTAATCGTTTTCTGGGTCAGGTGCTTGTGCAGCATTCCAGTTCACCTTCTGTAATAGATTTTTCATTCGGGATTTCCCTTTCCATACATTTCTTTCCTCATCAGCTTGAATTTCGTGTACAGAAAAATGACTATACTCCCAAAGAAGAACGCAGTGGTCACTTCGGCCAAGGGACGTGTGCGATCCCAATCCGAGAATGCAACTATCATCCCTAGTGATGATGAGGTCCAAACAACTGGACTGCTGTCCATCTCTGAATTGAGTGTCCACTTTAACATGTTGGGTGAAGAACTCACTTGTGATCAGTTGAATAAACTTCTGTTCGAAGGAGTTTTCTGATCGCGTGCAATGAATCAAATCCCAGTTGATGTCTGGACAGTTGAAATCACCAAGTAACGTTATGTGTTTGCCTTGACAAATTTCTTCTATCTCGGTGATGAGTGCATCGTCCTCATCCGTCTGCTGGCTTGATTGTCTATAAACCAGGGCCATATGTAGGCTTGGATGGTTTGACACTATTAAGTAACAACTGAATATTTCGCAATCATTGTTCCGAAATGGGGAAGACCCAACTCTGACGTAGTAGATGCCATCTCGTATAAATATCGCAATTCCCCCACCCCTTCGTCCGTTTCGGTCCATTCGGAAAAGCTGAAAACCATCTAGCACAAATTCTGCGTCCTTTATCTGCGTATTTAACCAAGTTTCAGTCGGGTTGGAAATGAGACACGGCGAGTTTTATTTCATCCAATTTGTTGAATAAACTCTGCACATTTGTGTGTTCAGGTTAGCAAAAGTAAGAGATCCGGGTCGGTAATCTGAGGAGAATGAATTGCTCACCGGATCGGGGGACTTTTCTGGCTGACGTTTCGAAGAGCTGGGGCTGCTCTCCATTGTCAAAGCGTCAAGTGAAAAAATCGATCAGCATTTTTGAATAGACTGCCGCATT